TAAGTGGCGTAAACAAGCTTCCATACATTCTGTTCTTCTTCTTTTTTTGAATAACCTTACATCTGCACAAATACTCAGTACATGAACTCACTTTATTAAATAAACTGCAACCCATAACATACAAAAAGGAAGTTGTTCATTGCATGAATATTGAATATTTTTACTACCATCATGTCTCCAATTCATGGTTTACTTCCACTGCAAGGCTCAAGGCTCTGGGGGTGGGGTGGGGTGGGGTGGGGGGTCTTAATGAAAGAGAGCTACACTTCCACTACTGCCTTGTTAACTTGAAACATTTTCACAGCAGAGTTATCCAAATGTGTAATCACTTCCTTATGGGAATTATTTTATCAGGATAGAGAGAGTATAAAATGCCTTCTAAGGAGGAGACTGGTGAAAAGCTTACGATGTGTTGTAACTGTAATTAAAGAAAGCTGATGTGAGATATTCATCTCATTATGTGTGGCACGGGGAGGAGCTGTGAACAGGCATGTAGGGTCTGACAAGGTGACATTTGGTTAATAAGGAGAGCAAGGAGGCAGCGATTCTTTAAACACATTCAGAACAAATTAGCCAACGTGAACTCAGTCTCATCCTGGCTCAATACAAACAGTGCATAGTGTGTATAAAAAATAAAGAGACATGGTGAAATAGTAAAAGGTAAAAAGTAAGCCAGTGAGTTTGGAAAAACAAACTTGGAAAAGAAAAACAGAAATAAATGTATAATCATGAAATAGCTTTAGTGTGCAGAAGCCTTTTGTCTTTTGGAAATAGTCTTTTAAAGAAAAATTAACTCCCATCTTCGGAGGTTAAGAAGATTTTAGTGATAAGAACAAGGGTAAAAAAAATCTGTTAAAGCTGAAAAATTTTGCTTCACTTCTCTACAAAATCACTCTTTAGTTGATCTGTCTCTTATCTGGTCCAATAAACAGCCTCCTTTTGGGGCAAGCCAAAAAAAGTTGCCATGTGCTGCTTTAGAGCAAAAAGATATCAAACAACATCCTTTCCCTTCCTTGTTCCTCTCCATGCACTCACTCCGCGCTCACACACAATGTGTGGCAGGCCCAGAGGAAAAACAACATGTGTTACGTTGACATCTAAGTCTGGCGCCTGAATTATGAGTCATGGAGAAATCTATAACTCAACTGATGATCAAACACGGCTAAAGGCCACTTAGAGGGGGAAACTCTCCGTGGATTTACAGAGATCAGAGGACTTGGCAAGTGAGAAACAAAAGACGGTCAACCCTTGGTAAAAATGAGGCCACGCAATCAGATTTGATCAAGTTTTGAAGAACTGAAAGTGCGTGTTGCCGTCTTGTTGCAGCAGAATCAGCTGACTGATTGGTTCTGCGGAAATTAGTGGGGTTTGCAGGTGACATCACACAAACGGGCGGTCTCAGCTGGATGGGTGCAGGTGGGTGCAAGGGTAGAAGCAGCAGGCTGGGGTTTGATCTGTGGCAGAGTGGGTGACATCCTGTCACTGCTCATTATAGTGTGAATTCTGTTTATCTTCAGTAACACCTTCACTTGGCACCAACAGCAAATCTAGTGATGTGACACAGTAGATAGAGGTCTGCAATAGAGAGAAAGGAGTCCAAAACTAGTCTGATGGGTGGAGATTGTGCACAAAGACACATAATATAAAGTGATGAAATAAGAGGAATCTCACAACCAGGAAGCCACTGGAGACAAATAAGCATAAAATACAAGGCACATGATGAAGCGCTGATGATGACTGTTGTCTCCTCAAAGCCTCAGAAAGTTCAACAGTGCTCCTTTATCCCTCTTCGACAATATGTTAGGAGACCTGTTGTCTTCATATCCCGAGGCTCTTATCGCCCCACAGCAGAGCCCACCTGCCCTCTTCTGTTTAACGCAACAGACAACCAATAAAGGAGTCCTCTCTGTTTTACTGTCAAACGAAATCACACTTCCATTTCGAATACACCC